AGTGGGCCAAGATTAGCTCTGCCTATGAAAGCACAATCAGATTTCACGGAGAAGGTAACTTTGGGATGGGGGCTTCAAAATGCAAGGAGAAACTTCTTTCTTTGAATTTTATTTTTGCTATTTATCTCTACCTGGTGAATTTGGAAGACTTTATCAAGTGTCTCAAAAGAAAAGGACGTGTAGTATCATAATGATAAATTAACTAGAAAATTGAAGAACCAAGACCAGGAATTGTACTCTGGAAAATCCAGGCTAAAGGAAAGGCAAGGGATGCCAGTCAGGTGTCATGAATTATGTAAACACCTAAAGAAGGTAAAAGGAATCAATCACATGTTCCAAGAAGGATGCAAGATCATGCCGAAATGTAGGGTGCCTGGAGGACGGTGGCAGGCAATAGCTCTGGCTGTGCAGTTCACTTAGACAAACACTAATTGAGCACTGTAGGGGTACTCTGCCCAGAGCCCCCCTTTAGGGCTGAGGTATTCATATTCCCCTGGGTGCTCAGAGTGTTGGCAGCTGTCACTCCTGAGTGCCTGTCTAGGTACTGCCCTTGGCATAAAAGAGTTGTTTTGCCCAAGGGTAAGCCTCTGCCTTAAGAGGCAGCTTGCATTCAGTGACTAGTTGATAGGATGGGGCACAGTGACCCTACCCCTTTCCTAGATTTGGGACAATTATGAGGCGTCATCCCAACCGCACAGCTCCTTGTAAAATCGGCTGAAGTTTCTCTTCCAGTACAGCACAGTTCAGCTCGCGCCTCTCCCAGCCCTACTTACCATGTCTGCTCCTATACTGTTTCAGAGAGCAGTCCTTGGCAAACCTCCCGTCTGCAGACCTCGGGGTCTCAGATCTGTTCCCCAGGAACCAGGTGAAAACAAGCATCAATTTGGGGGATTCAGACAGATAAGGTCTTTAACCTCAAAGGATTTACAGTTTTCAAGGGAAGTCAGGGCTTCTAAAGGCAACACAGAGGCTTAGAAAACTGTTAAACCTATGAAATATATGAATGAAAGAAAAAAGGGGAGGAGAAGAGAAAAAAGGCTTTTGAGTACATTGTCTAAAATTGTGCTCATCAGGCAAATGATTTTTGGGTGTATCGTTTCTCTATGAATTCATAATGTCTTTAGAATTAAAGAGTATAGGGTGATTAGGGACCATGGCGGGGCGGAATATATATATATATCTAAATCTATCTCCCTCCTAAGACAACTGGCCATCCGGGCTCTATTTGCCTATTTAGATGGACATGGATTTGTGACCTCCCAAAGCAGCACATCCCAACAGTTCTCCTGACTGAGTTCTTACATTTGACTGGAACTTTTCCTCTTGTTCTGTTCTCTGTAATCATAAATACTGAATTAGTTCCTTTCTTTTTAAGCCAAGTCTTTTATTTATATGAAAACAAGAATATGATTTACACATTAAAATTATTTTTTTAAGATAGGGGATAATGGAAATTTGAGCATTTATCAGATATTTTGTTAATATCAAGGAATGTTTTAAAGATATGGTAATAGTTTTTGCTTAAGTTAAAAATAATTTTTATATTTTAGACATACATACTGAAATAGTGAGAAATGAGATAATATAATATGGAGGGTTTGCTTCAAAATAATATGGGGGCTGGTAGAAATGAATAGGGATATAGATCAAACAAGACTGGCAGTGAATTGTCCATTGATCAGAATGAGAAGCTGAATAATGGGGGTTCTACATTTTTCTCATACTCATAGAAATGCTTATGTATTTCTATATACAGTGAGATATATATATACACACACACACAATGTAATACTATTCAGCCATAAGAAAGAATGAAATTTTGCTATTTGCAACAACATGGATGGACTTGGAGGGTGTTATGCTCAGTGAAATAAGTCAGACAGAGGAAGACAAATACTGTATGGTCTCGCTTATATGTGGAATCTTAAAAATAGAACATACTAGTGAATATAACAAAGAAATAAATACAAAAGAATATAAACAAAAGAAACAGACTCACAGATACAGAGCTCACCCTTCTACCCATAATTCTCCCCTACATCCCAAATTGATAGCATTTGTTTTCCCTGCAACCATGACTGTCTCCAGTAAATTCTTGATAGCTTTATTCCAAAACTTAAAAATAAATCATGGAACTTAAATTATTATTGCTACATTAAAGTGTTCACAGCAGAGTCAAGTATCATGCCCAGCTTAGGTCTCCTTCTCTTCAGATCCTAAGTCTCAATTCTTGCAGCACTCAGAAGAACAAGAAACTTCAGCAAAAAGTTTAAATGGAATCTCCTTTTTTCACACTCAGTCTGTTGCCTTTCTCAAGTATCAGCATTTCACAGCTCCTAGATGATACCATTGGATCCTTCAGATCCCACCACTACCTCCACCTCTGCCTCCACCTGATCTTACCTGTGACCTCCTTTCCCAGGCTGGGCTCCCGAGTCAGTCTGGATGCTTCTAACCTTCCAGCTGTCGTGTGACTTTCTTGGGTAGGCTATTGGTCATATGGGTCTCATGGCACCCTCTCTCTTGGTTTACTACCTTATTCTGCAAAATAATTCCCTAAAAAAGGTGGACTTCCTGATTCCCTGCCTATTCTAAGTCTGGGGGTGGGGTGGATAATTAGGTTTATTTATTTATTTTGAGAGGAGGTGCTGGGGATTGAACCCCAGACCTTGTGCATGCTAAGCATGCACTCTACCACTTGAGCTACACCCTCTCCTACACTCATTTTTAATGTGCAGGGAGTTTTAAGTTAGGACTCTTACCCTCAGAATATTTTGCTTTATTCTTAACCTTACTTCTTTAACCTTATTTTCTTACTTTACTATAGATTTTCCTTTTCTTTTATTGTTTCATTGGCAATCACAGTTTTAATTTCCAAGAGTTTGTTTTTATTTTTATTTTTTTCAGAAAAGTATGTCTTTTTCTTTATAATTACAATATCTTCTCGAATGTTTTAAAAGAAACTAGTGAGATTTTTATCATGATTTTTTTCCATTATGTTGCCAGTGTTCCTCAGGTAGCTGAGCAACCTTGTCTGTCTGCTCTTGTTTCAGAATGAGATACTATGAAGCCAAATAAGGGCTCTGAGGAGGTGGGGCTTGTTGGCTGGTAGGTGCTGCTGAAATGACCAAGCAGGGTCCAGTCTTGGGCAGGTGCCTGTCAACTCTCTAGTTAGTGCACTGGGGGTAGAGGACTGACTGCTCCATCTACTGGCTTCTAGACAGTCTCCCTGCTTTCATCTTCACATCTCACCCCACGTCTTCCATCACACTTACTTTTCCAAGTACGGAAATTCTTGGGAATTCAGTAGTACAGGTAGGCTCTCTTCTCTCATCAGTACTCAGTCTCTACCATATGTTTCTCAGAAACTTTTTGAAATCTCTCATCCACTGATGGTTCCCTTTCTGTGTCTGACATAGTTTCAGATTCATACTCTTCTCATTTCTTTGTCATATTTTTAAAACTTTTTTATTGATTTATAATCATTTTACAATGTCTTTGTCATATTTTTAATGCAGTACTAGTCCGTATTTTTCTCCAGCCATCTTGGACCAGATGCCTCTCCTTTTATTTATTTATTTGTAAATAAAGATCCCCGGTTGCTCCATCTATTTTTTCTAATGTCTTCAGTGGCCACTGCAGAAATCCAGTGTTGTTGGTTGAAGTGTGTCCCCTCCACCAAAAAGCCACGTTGAGGTCCTATTTCCCAATACCTTAGAATGTGACCTTTTTGGTAGAGGGTGGTTGCACATGTAATTAGTTAAGATGAGGCCAAACTGAAGTAGGGTAGTCCCTTAATCCAATATGACTTGTGTCCTTAAAAAGACAGCCATCTGAAGACACAGAGACACATAGGGAGAACACAATATGGTGACAAAGGCAGAAATTGGAGTTATGTAGCTGCAAGCTAAGGGACACCAAGGATTGCCTGAAAACCGTAAGAAGCACCAGAAGTCAAGGAAGGATTCTCTTTTATAAGTTTAAGAGGGAGCATGGTCCCACCAACATCTTGATTTTGGACTCCTAACCTCCAGAATGTGGGACAATAAATTTCTATTGTCTTAAGCGATCTAGTTTTATGATACTTTGTTATGGTGGGGACCATAACAAAGAGCTTGATAAGCATGCAGTTAAGAAATACAGAGGTCAGCTGCAGAAATAAGCCCCCCCTAAAAAAAGGTTTGAAACTAGTCACCTCTGGAAAGTGACACGGGGGCTAGGAAGCAGACAGAGGACTGTTGCTTTTCATTATAATCCTTTCTGTACTTGGCGTTGTTTTCAGCAATCTTCTCACCTCCCTGGGCACCATTGTGACTTGTGACCTAATCTGTCAACATCTGTGGCAGGCAGAATAGTAGTCCCCTCACCCCAAATATGTGCGTGTCCTTACCCCGGAACCTGTATGTATTTACCTTACATGGCAAAGGGGAATGTAGGTTCAAGAGAGAATTAAGATTGCTAATCAGCCAACCTTAAAATAGGGAGCTAATTCTCAGCCCAATATAATCACAAGAGCTCTTAAAAGTGAAGAAGAGAGGCATGAGGTGAGTCAGAGAAAGAGATATGATGTCAGAACCAGGTCCCTGCAGTGATGTGCTATGAGGACTCAACCATGGGTGCTACTTTGAAGCTGGTGGAAGGAGGACACAGCCAAGAAACATGGGTGGTCTCTAGATGCTGGAAAAGGCAAGGATCTGATTCTTTCTGGAGCCTTCAGAAGGGAATGAAGCCCTCCTGATACCTTGATATTTGCTCAGTGGGGTGTCAGACTTCTGACCTGCAGAGCTGTGAGAGAATAAATTTGTATTGTTTTAAGCCAATAAATGTTGGGTCATTTGTTACAGC